TTTTTGTGGTATATGCTTCCCTTAAAATTGCAACTTCAACCAACCCTGTTTTGAGCTCATCATATCGGCAAAAGATTTAGCCAGTGATGTCACTTCTCTCCTTTTTCCATTTGAGGTGTTAATGTAGTATGCCTTAAAAATTGCCAGTGACCCAGAGACTGTATAGTACATTTTCAGAGTAAACTTTGCCACAGTAATACTGCCTCGGCATTGCTTTCGTTTCTTGCCACCACGTGCGTATTTTATGTATGCTTTTTCTATCTTCCTAACATTCTAACTTGCATAAAAATACCGTTGATCCATATGACTATATAATTGCTGCTTTACCTAGTCGTCCATGAAACTTGGTTAGCGCTTAAACCATATCCTTCCCATTACTTAAGCTTGCCAGTTATTTAAAGCGTCTGCAGAATAAGTGTCCAGGTCGCTGGTCATTCGTAAATTGCGAAATCTTCATAACCACCTAACACTTATAGTTTCTCTTTGAGTATATCAATGCGATAAGGAAAGTGGCTAATGTATAAACATAATAAAAGAGGCAGTTATAGTCATCTCACAATAGCAACTGCAGTTTGCGACCATACACGTGATGCACAGATAAAACAACCGAAAGTCGTTAGAATTAGGTTCGAGACTGCTGGTCGCTATTTTGATCAGTTAGCAAAAACAGCATTTCCTACAGATTTAGTTGATGCAACAACGTAATACTTCGCTTGACTTGAGTAAGCAACCAACATAATGTCTGGAGGCGTGCACTATTTCCCGCGCCATCTAAGACTATCTTGGGGCGGAGTTCCAATATTTCTGGCACCCATTTTAGTGGCAAACCCTATGCTAGGACGGTGCGGATTGCAACCTCAGTACTTATCATCTAAGTGTCCGTGAATGACGTACATTTATCGGAATAACGCCGGCCGCTTCCGCCTCGAGCCTGGAGTCCACACATTTCTTCCACCAACAGTTTCCGCTCCTGGCCTTAATGCAAATTTGTATATTCCATCAACTTCCTCCTCTTCATCCACTTGGCGTCCGGCTCGAGGGTTCTTTTCTGGCCCCGCAGCAGCTGACTCTAGAGATTTCTTGTTGCAAAGTTCTTCTCTCCAAGAGAGCTGTCCGAGTATCAACCTGCTCTCGAGCAGTGGAATTCGAAATTCCGTCACGACGCCAGCTGCACTCAGGAAGCCGCACAGCTCCTCAGCTCCCAGCGAAGGGATCACAGGCGTGGAACCAGCATTTTCTCCACCTATTCACATGCTACGCATCATGAGGAAAAGAAGTACGAGTAGGAGGCCGCCATCGTTGTCTGGTGGTGGACCTGTTCATCTCGAAAATCCAGAGCGGGAGACAAGGTGGTACTTCAAATATTTCCTGGGAAAAGGTGACTTCTCATTTAATACTTTTTGGCAACTGCGTAGTTGTCTACTTTGTGTAAAACTGTTTATTTTCATTCCAATTTAGCCCACCAGATTTACTGTGGTAACATATCGGAGAAAGACCCCTTGCTCTTGGCGGTAGTAAAATCTGAGTTTGAAGCTGAGGGTCTTCGTCAATACCGCGCAATACTATGGACGAAGTTTGTAAGATGGTCACCTATTTTTGCATTCGTTTATTACTTTGATTATAGGGAAGCCAAAAACTTTGTATATCGAACAGTTTCGCAAGTTCGGTTTCGCCTAAGAAGATTCTTTGGTACTTCATTTCCATAGCTTACTTCTCAATTTAATGTATTAGCCTCTTTGACATTTACAGACTTGAAAAAGGTCTAAAAGAAATTTTGCACTATGAAGTTCAGAAAGAGGTCCTTACTCTTGAGGAGCAGGAGGTATGTTGACACTCTTTGCAACCCAATTATTTCTAGGGATCCGTGAATTTCAAATTCGGAGTTTTGTACTGCAAAGAAGGCCAAACATCAGATGAGGAGATGTATAATAATGGTAAGAATGCGTTGCATTGTGTAGGGGATGGGCCATTTCAGTCTATGCATAGTAATGCAAAAATTTCCTGTGTAGGCTTGGGAATGTGTAGTATTGCACTTTGGGGTGGATTAAAGCAAAACATTCATGATTGATCCTTCCTAGTCGACTCGCTTATTGCTTCAGTTTAAGGTTGAACTCGAAATCCTTACGTATGTGAACACATAGTAGGGGCTTGAGATGGTATAAGGTGCGTATGAAATTGTTTTAGACTATTTTAATTTCATCAAATCTCAAAACTTCTTTTATTGCATTTTGTTTTACTTACTCCTGTCGATTGATCGTTTAGAAAACGGGAGTTCACAGTATCAGGCATTCCTACGGCTTCTTGGGGATAGAATAACACTGAAGAACTGGGATCGCTTCAAAGGTGGTCTTGATGCAAAGAGTAAGTCAGTTTACTGCTTTGAAGTCAAGTTCTCTGTCAGACTTATTAGCAACATCGCCATAAATCCAACTACTTTCCATTAGTAGCCTTCAAATTGCAACGACAAACGGTCTCATGACTCCATGGCTAAGTATATCTATCCTAACTCGAGCAATTAATTATTTTATGGCCTGCATCGAAATTTCACGGAAGGAGTTGCCAATTGTGTTTATAGTACCGTGCCATTTGATTAATTTGTTATGCCACCCAAGACTCACTTTTGTCGGGCGAGTTGACAGGCCATTTTATGAGTGTCTGGACGGTGCGACAACTAGACACTATTTTAGTACTTAGCACTTGCCCCTTCAGTATGCGCATCACTCTTCAGCATCCTAGTGAGGTAAATAATAGACCACCTTCCTTCATTGCAACATCGTTAGACATTTGCTTCAGTTTGAATTTGCAAAGTAATTTTAGCTCAGGCGGTTTTAAGAGTGTACATTGAAAAGTGCCCCACTTCATTGAAGGCAAATGTTTAGTCGTACAAAATCATAACAAGGTGAAACAGTTCTTCCATAGTCATAACCCATTCTAAGCTTTATAAAAGCAACATTATGGTTTTTGGCATTCTAGTTTTAAGTAGTTCGTTCAATAGTGATGTCACTGAGTCCATTATGCATGGCAGACGGCCGGTAAAGAAGGGAGGACTGCTACTGCGTTGACAACAATAACTACGTGCAGAAAGTGTGAGAGTCGGGTAATTACTTTGCGCATCTCAGCACTGGCTAACGTTTGGAAAAGCATCCAGAAGCTTACCTGATTAACCTTCATCGAATGTAACGTGTTTGTTGTGCTTTGCGCAGATTGCAAAGTTTTGCTCGATTTGGAGCTATTGAATCGTAAAAGAATCTCCTAGTTCCTATGTAATCTTCATCAACGATCACAAGTAGTTCAAAAATTTATTAAGTATTTGTTTAAGTAACCTTTTACTAACAGAGCATCACCTCTAAATATAGCCGAAACGACTGGTACTGAATCAATATACACAATATACGAGGGGCATGAAATAATGTTTCATGTCTCCACCTTACTCCCCATTTCAACGGACAATCGCCAGCAGGTCAGTTCTTACTAACGTTAACAGTTACTTGGTAGTTAGTAATCGTGGATACCTTCAACCAAAAGCCAAACATTCGCTCTTTAAGCATCAGGTGCTTTGTAACCAGCGACGCAAAAAAACTAATCCGAGTTGGGGAATGTGTCACTTTAAGACAGTCCTTTTATGCCACTGTGAACTCTTTCTTGATTTGCGAAGGCATCTTGTTGCATTCTTTACTTTTTCCAATTTGTTACAGTACTTCAACTTAATAGAAGATGCAGGAATGTTAATGCCTTTCCTTTATTGTTTTATTGCTTCCTACATCCCGAGCGTGTCCAAATAGAAGAATAGTTATGAATAGTTGAACTTTCAAATGAGCCGTCTTGCAGGTCCGTCTATTGTATTGCTTCAATTTGACGATTGTACTCACCCACTTAGCGTCAAGTGATGATGGACTGTAAATCCCGCCTTTGTTGAATGCTCTAAAATCACTGATCTCTTTCTGTTTGTGATCTAGATTGAAAGGAAACGTCACATCGGGAATGATATCGTGAATATCATATTTTTTGACGCGAGCGATGTGGAAAAGCCGTTGTCATGGGGGCCGTCAATGATGAAAACACACTTCACGCGTATCCTTTGATAATACCCGTTGGCTTGGCCGGTCTATGGGCCATCTTTGGATAAAACGAAGAGATAATGCTTGAAACTCTAACGTCAGGTAGAACCTATCTTGTCCCTGATAAATGGCTTTGTTTAACGCGATTTCATTAAAATCCGCGCCATCTCAGCTGGTTCCGGTCACCTCCCCCAAATGCACATCATGTGAAATTCCTTCGGTCTAAATTTTAGCCATTTTAATATGTAAAATTGATTATGATGGATAGTCACGGCAATTTAACGCGACACCACAGAAATAATCTTTGCAGCGGTCTTAAGCTTGGTGCTTGTGTCTAAATTTGCACATTCGAGTGTGACCACCAATTATCGCCCTTTCTAATGCATCACCATATAAAGTGACGCTTAAGCTTGCATACCTCCACTCATCACGAGTACTGGGATTTAATCGCAATTTTATTTACACCAGGTACGACTCAATGTCGATTTCTCGTGAAAATATTGCTGCAAGTGTTTGAATGATCCCGTAGGATTTACAGTGTCGATCCTGCAAGCATGTAATTTTCTCT